CTTATCAGGTGTGGAATCCATATCCTCCCACGGCTCGTCGGAGACCAGGGACCCGGTATCGCGGGCGATTCTGTAGACAGGGCTCCCGCCAATCCCATGGATCCACGTGGCGCCCATCTCGATCCTCTCTCCGGAGAACTCGGAGGTATTGATCCTTCCACCGATTCTGGAGCCGCCCTCTACGACGGAGAGCTCGAACATGTCGCTGGAGCTCGTGTAGATCTTGTTGGCCGCCGTGAGACCGGCCATCCCGGCCCCAATTATTACGATTCTCGGCTTCTTCGCCATGGTTGTCTGAATGCTTCAACGGAAACAGAAAAAAAAAAAAAGATTTATCTCTCTCTGGTTTGGGATGAGGCAGGAGATGAATGACTGAATGGAGAGAGTGCTTAGACAGAAAATTTATAAGGCAGAGGGAGAGAGAGTATTCGTACTTGTGTTAGATTTTTTTTTTTTGTCAAAGATTGTGTTAGATAATTAAGAATAATTTATCTTTATGTAATTTACTCTCTTAATTTTTATCGTCTTAGTCTAGTAAAGACAGACCTTTACTTTTTATCGTAGATTATTATTTATTTGGTTATATCACGACTGACTTTATAATAATTTTTTTTTATAATTAAAAAAATTTCAAAGTCGTGATATAAATAACACCCCATATCTGTGAACAACTTCTATTGGATTTATATGATCATCCAACATCTAGTCTTCTTCTCCCATAGCCTATTTATATCTCGGGTACATAAAAATGGAATATACACACTTTAAAAAATAAATAAATTAACAAATAAAATTCAAATCCAAATGAAACGCTTATATAATCAACACGAATTGAACTAAAAATTTACACAAAAAAGCACTAAATATGTAATATTTTTATAAAATAAAAAACGGAGTTGAAAAGAATTAAATCTAGATATTTAGTTATACTCGTTATGTGTGTATATAATGCATCCATATGTACAGAATTTTAAGAAGAAGAAGAAAAATTCAAAGAGGAAAAGGTGGAAATGAATGAGAAATAAATAAATAAATAAATAAATGGGGGAATTTATGGTTGGGGGATAGAGAAATCACATGTAAAAGGAGGGGGACAAAGAAGGGCCCATGAAACAAAATGCAGAGTCATTCGTACACTTCACTTTCATCAAACTTCTCACCATTATTGTCTAATCATTCACTTCCCCCTCCGACTATATATTACACATGCATGTGCATGCATACATGCATACATACATACGATGCATGTATATATGCACATGCATGCATACATACATACATACCAGAAGCAAAAAAAAAAAAAAACAGTACAAAATTAGATTCATTGCTATTTCATTATTTTCTATCAACGCTTTGGACTATGATACTGACATAATGTTGCAGCAGGTATGACAACGAAATTACGCCATAATTTATAATAAATTCGATATTTTCAATGCAAATGATCAATTTACAAATTGAAAACGACCCTTTGCAGATATTAGGTTCCTTTAGAATGAAATCCATGAGAGCAAATATATTAGTATAGATTAATGGAATACGCTTGAATCTATTTGGATATATATATATATATACACACGTTTATATGGGTGTGCGTGTACAAAATGGACAAAGGATTGGTTAACAACCGAGATGTCGGAGAAATCAATAAAAAATCAAAGCATGAGGACAATCTTTGGAAGGCTTTTGTCTTTTGGTTTGTGTTGAGTTTTGCATTTCCCAAAATATCGTGAAACCTTCTATATAATTACATTTTTCAAAAAATTAAAGAAACTTAGATAAATATTTCCTTCTCCAAAAGATTCGAATCCAGATTGAAAAAAAAAACTGTCCTATCTTACACCAATTGAATCACCCAATTTTAGGTAAATATTTTGTTTGATATGATACTTATAGAATGTTTTATATCTTTTTTCCTGTAATGGTAATATATATATATATATATATGCAATCAGTAAATATATGTGTTTATATATAGAGGGTAATTTGTAATATCATATAATTATGATTAGATTAACACTCTTATATAAAGACCCTAATATTGCTAATGATAATTAATCCACTTTGCATAATTATTATAGTATAAACATATATATATATATATATGAAACTTTAAAATTTTAATATTTTTTTTTTATAAAATTTGATTGTATTAATCAAAATTGGTGGTACATCTATCAGGATCCCAAATCCATTTATATAGATGTATATGACAACGAGTATGCGTGGCGTTGTCGAAGTGTTTGATTCGATTATTCATCTCCCTCCATAGCTCATATATAGATGTATATGACCTGTTGAATGAGTATTTTGGTGAGGATACTCCTTCTGCCTTCATCCCGCTTTGATATGTTGCGGTAAGAAGCTCCCCTCTTGACGTTTTAATTGTTTTTAATTTGATGGAGGATGTGGTGAAGTTGATTTGGCGTTGCCGACGTTTATTTGTCGGATTTCATCGTCCAGTAAATGACCTTGATGGTTCCAAAATTCTATATAGAAGTTATTTAGAAATTTTAAAGCTTCTATATTTATCTACAATTTTGCATTTACCCAAAATAACATAATATCCATTAGGAAAAAACGGTTTTCACACAACATTTGTAGATATATGAATGAAATATAACACGTATTTCTAACATTTAAGAGATAAATATCGGGATATACATAGATATATATTTCCATTTTTTTTTGCAATAAAATCTTTTATATATAAAAAGGTTTTTTATTATTACACGTACACTTTTTTAAATATATATATATATATTTCCGTCATTTTTTAAAAAATATTTAAACTTTTAACTTCCAATTTATAAAAGAAATCTAACTCTTATCTTTTAAAACACATCCATTTAAAACCAAACTATCCAAAATACAAATAAAATATAAAAAATTATAAAAACATCTAAAAATAGTTTAATTTGGCAAAAAATTAATAATAATAATAATAATAATAATAATAATAATATTTATTATTATTATTATTATTATTATTATTAATTTTTTGCCTTCTCATATACTTCTATTAATCTTGAATTTTTGGATAACCAATGCATAACTTGTATCATACATTTTTTTTATAGATACATATATTTTTTAAAATAATTTTGGGATTCTAATACTCAACAACCTCCAATCGGTGAGACGAGGATCATCAGAGATTAGGGTCACGACCATAATCTTGAGTCACGACCATAACTCCGTAAAGCTTTTAAACCAGCCCGAGAGATGGATCAGAAACCCGCGCTTTCGGATCATCCCGAGACTTATGAACTAATCTCAAAAGTGCTAGTGTTACTACTACTATTTTGGTAAGGATCAGACATAAACACCCCTAACGAATAGCAAAAAGAAAGGATCCGAAACCCTGCAACGTTAAACCAACATCATGAATATCATCGTCAGTTGTAAGATGGATTCAGAGAACATTTACGAAATGCCATTACCAAGAACACAGAAGCTGTTGCTGCGGTGACGAGCTCTTTTCCGAGGCTTCAGTTTTTTCTCGACGACGTAGCTTCATATCTGCATGAGTCAGGGAATTCTTACACTTGCTGGATCTTAAAGAACGGTTAATCAATATGTAACTTTCGTTTTTTTAGATCCAATAAACCCATGAAATGCTGACCCTCTAAAACTATCTCAAAGGATTGTCAATCTTAAAATAATAACAGAGAAGTCCTAAATTCTGCAGTACGAGATGCATTCAATAAGACATCCAACTTCTAACATGCAAGAAGCACGAATCATTCCAACAAAAGAGTAGAAGGGAGGGAAAGGTGGAGACCAAGAGGGGCAGCGTCCAAAGCTTTGGAAAGCTACAAAGGGACTATCAAACAAGAATGCATGGTGACCAAAAACCAGAGTAAGCACTGTGAATTTCGGTAAACCTTCACAAAATCACAATCCCCTTAGATCCAGATACAATAAATGCGTAGAGAAGAATATATCCTTGGATTCATCTGTTGGCAGGCTAGACTAACATTGAACAAGATCAAATTTTACGACAAACCCAGAAGAAAACGAGATTCAAAACCCCTAAGCAAGAAGATTTTATCAAAATTGGAGGAAGAATTCATAGAATCGGAGATGAACCCTGAACACAGGTGAAAGGAATTCAGGGAGAGAATGCACCTATTATACCAGCACCGACACTGTCAAATGCCACAGGAAAATTTCCCCCTTAAGAATGCACCTATTATTATACAACTGAAGAGTAATTGCAACTACTGCAAAGCTTTTAGCCTTTTACGCACCCTTAAGATGAATTCCACAGAATGGCAATAATAATCACAATTCCCAATTCCCAAGGCGCGGTTGAGTATGAACAGAAAATGGCTAACACAACAAAACCACGAACAGATCGAAGCACATCGCAGAATCCGTAAGCCCAAAGATGGGTCCATCAAAACATAAATCGGCCTCGCGAGGACGCCGAAATGAAGAGAAAACAGCAAATGGTCGAACTAGCGATCAGATCAAGGAAGCTTACCTGAAGAAGGAAGCCGTAATGACCGCCAACGCAGGGTACATCGCCACCGGAATCGGACTCGCAATCGGTTTCGCCGCCTTCTCACCGGAACAACCACAAAACAAAACACGACCATGATGAATTACGATAGCAGAAACAACAACGATAAAATTCAACTCAGATTCGACGCATACCATTTTCCAGAAGAGATCTCGCCGCTCTTCTCCGCTTCGATCTGTCACCGGATTCCCTCTCCAATTCGAAGCCTTTGTATATTGACTACGATCACGGATTCAAGCTCCGCGCTCACCTCCGGTTCGAACCGGTACGGTCAACCCAATTGGAAGATGCTGTGGTCTTGTATAAATTTCTTTTTTTTTTTTAATATAATTTTTGGTTTGGAAAAGTTTTGTCTTACATAAAAATTGAACAAAAATAGAAAGGAGAAATATATTTCTTTCTCTTAATTAGAAGTGCATCGTTAACATACAAAATCTTCTCACCCATAATATGAACACAATCTGTGCAACTTTTCTCACATCTAGACTACAAGCGCATACATGGGGAGAGAGAGAGACCTTGAGACAGTTGAACTAATGAACCTTAAGGCGTCGAAATAAAATTTTAAAATTAGGTAAGTTAGGAATGCCAAACCGAAGAACCAAACTGGCTGGATAACCGGGGCTTGAGTACCTGTGTATGGAGACAAAACATCAACAACATCATGCTTCAACAGCAGCAGCAATGCCTGTTTCATCATCTGTGACCTCAGATGTAACCACAACTTGAGGAGGATCTTCCTCTGGCTCAGAATCCTCCTGTGTTGTCTCAGCTTCAAGAAGCTTCTCCCGAAGCTTGCTTCTGAGCTCTTCTATCACAGATTCGTTCTCGAGCAGAAACCTTTTCAGGGCTTCCTTCCCACGGAAATTCTGACCGTTGAGGTAGTAAAAGGCACCTGCTCTTGAGATGAACTTGTGTTTTACTCCCAGATCGATAATCTCGGTTGCCTTGCAGATTCCCTTTCCAAACTCAAGCTCAAACTGCGCAGTTCTGAACGGGGGTGCGAGTTTGTTCTTCACAATCTTGACAGCAACTTGATTCCCAGTTGTCTGAAAACCAAGCATTAAAATAAGAGATCTCAAAGTTTAAACCTTGGGCCAATTCTGTTCTCTGTAACACTTCATTCTCTTAAGTCGAGACAAATAGCTTTTGTGTCGCTGCAAGGAACTTACACTCAAGGAAGCATAGAGGAGTTATGAGGTCAATACACAAGGGACAGAAAAAGCTAACATCTTTGAGGAAACAGCTTTGAAATGGGAACAGGGACATTTACCTCTTCGCCTTTCTTAACAAACCCGATTCTCCTGATATTTAGACGCACGGAAGCATAAAACTTTAAGGCATTACCACCACAAGTAACTTCTTGAGGACCCCCAAATCCTCCGAATGTAGATAGTTTTGATCTCACCTGAATTTAGACATTTGGATTTTGGATATGAGATAAACTCAAAGGTGGTAGACATTTTACATGGTTCGAAAATATAAAAGTGGGCAAGATTCCATAATCCACACTACTAATGCTCTGTACCTGATTTATAAAGATCAAAAGCGTTTGTGACAGTGATAAAGAGTGGCTCAATTTACGTAAAGCTTGGCTCATCAGCCTAGCTTGCATAGCCATATGGGCATCACCCATCTCACCATCAAGTTCCCCTTTAGGTACAAGAGCAGCAACCTGCAAGATGGAGTAGTACCAATCGATAAGGATATGAATCAGTGTAATAAGGTTTAGGCCCTAACTCCACCACAAAAGCTAGCTTAAGAGTGGAGGTTTGACCCTTACTTATATATTGGCCCAAATCCCTCTCATTTTCCAATGTGGGACACTTATCACAGTCTCAAGCAAAAAAGCATCAGCCCATATTTCGGCATCTCACTTACACTGTGAACCGCTCCGGATCAAGGTGTCCACAAGGCTAAGGGCCTGTTCACCACAATCAGGCTGAGAAAGAAGCAGATTTTCTGTGTTTACACCAATTGCCTTAGCAAGTGATGAATCGAGGGCATGCTCAGCATCTACAAAGACACATGTTCCTGTACGCCGAACGGCATAGAAAGAATATCTTAGAACACGAAACCAAGGCCCCATTTTTTGTCACGATTTCCAGTTGATCCATTATCTATAGACTGCTAAACTTAGTAAAGATAGTACACATGAGTTACAAACATGAGATGGGTTCTGGGAGGAATTAGTCGAGAGTTGAGAATCATGTAACCTCCTTGTCTTTGTGCTTCTGCAATAACATGCAGAGCAAGGGTAGTCTTTCCAGATGCTTCAGGACCATATACCTCCACAACACGTCCCTATGGAGTTTATGACAAGGAGGATAATAAGCAGCAACCAAAACATGAGTACCAATCTTCTCTGATTAGTATTGACTTTTCATGACACATATTTCTCCATGGACCTCATGCATATTCGAATATAAAATACAAATCTAAGCATTGGAAATGACCTCGTGAGTCATTACAGCAACTCAGCTTATAAAATCAGTCTCAATTACAAAACAGGTATTGTCACAAGGATAACGTCAACTTAAGATATACCTTAGGAAAGCCACCGACCCCCAGTGCCATATCCAGAGCAAAAGACCCAGTGGAGATCACTGGAACATGTCTATGAGCAACAGCACGACCAAGCCACATTATCGACCCCTTTCCAAACGAACTTGTTATCTGATCAAGAGCTTGCTGAAGAGCAATATCCTTTTTGGACATACCATCCTCAGATGATTCACTTCCATCTGACTTGGACGCCTTTTTGCCTTCAAAGGACAAAAAACGTCACAAAAATTGATAGCAAACAAAACCTTTAACCGTAACAAACAGAGCAAGCCAACTGATACGAAAACACAAGAAACAGCTACTGCATTGCGAAATTGAGCAGTTCACTGAAAGATCAAATCTTCACAACAACAAAAAAATATCCGAAGCATCAAACAGGAAACCCATTCAACCATTTACTCTTCAATCCACCCAATTCATAGATACTTAAAAAAAGGTGTAAGCTTTAATCTATCTACCTTTAGAAGCAAAACCTCGGAACTGAGACGACGTTCCAACCAGTCCTCCGGTACAGACCTGCAGAAAACCATTGGACCCTTTTGAAATATATGTCCCATAAAGACCAAATAAGCCAAGAAAGAAACAACATTTCAGGGTTCACTCTTCTTATAACGCTGTGACGTTCGCGCCAGCTAATTTCAGTAGACAGAACATGTGCCAATCGTCATAACAATCAATCACAGTCATAAACGTTGTATTCTCACGATACCCAGGAAATCAAATAGGAGAAGAGAGAGAGAGGGAGAGAGAATACCTCCGATGCGAACAGAGAGCGTCGGAGTGAAGAAACGTTTCGGAGAATCCTCGCCATGGAAACCACCAAGCAAGCCGCTACTGTACTTGTCTATCACAGAACGGGAAAAGAACAGAAAGAAATGGAAAAATGGAACTACCCAGAAGAATATCTCATGCAAGCGAGATATTCTGCTGAAGAAGAAAAGGAGAACGACAGGGACAGAGACCGGTGTTGGAGTTTTAGGGTTTTGGGTTTTCGTTTTTCCCTCCTTTTCAAAACGCATGTCCTTTTCCTTTTCTTTTTTTTGATCGTTTTCTCGCATCCGCCGGAAGAAGGAACTTTGACTCGTGCATTCACATTGAATTACTAACCGAAGGCTGAACCAGCTCAATCATGGTTTATGCAAACCGGATCAAACCAAGTAGATCGGTTACAAAACAAATAATAATAAACATACAATAAATTATACAAATATATTAGTTTCACTTTCACACCAACCGCTTATCCTCTTTGTATTTGAATTCGGACATGCATAATGATATGGATTTAAATGTATTCAAATAAACCAACAGAATCAAACCAATTTCAATTTCCCATCCCGGTTTGCGAATCTACAAGACCGGACCAAAATAAAGCAACTCTGATGGGCTCACTATGCCAAGTAGAACAACAAATACTCTTTCTCTAACTCAGGCCAAGTTCAATTCATGTGGGGACATTACAGCAAAAAAAGAGCACCATGGCTAGAACCAAGAACAAGAACGAACCCAAGAGAGAAATTTTAAGATAAATAAGATAAGAAAAATAAGCAGCAGCAGCCAAAACTGATAACCGGATTGTATTCATAATGACACCATCTTGGGGATCAATCTTCAGACACCATCGTCAAGAACAGAACCCTTTCTACTGCTGCTTGCATTCCGGTGGCCTCTCACCCTCCTGACCTCCGACCTGACCTCTTCCTACCTTCTGTTTGCTCAAAACAAAAAGAAAAACAACCCGAGTTTGGTAAGCAACAGCCATTTCGTAACCAAGAAGAACATTTACATGTTTGCAATTGGATTGAACGATAATACCTTAAGCCCGGCTGTTGACAACTGCAACAACAAGAGAAATCATATCAGTTTGAGTAAGCCTCGGAGTTTGTACATCATCAGGTTAGATGTTATCATTAGCACCATACCTTCTTCTTGCTCTTCTTTCTCTGATCTGCTTCCTCCTCGTCATCTTCGTCCTCTTCATCTTCCTCCTCATCATCCTCGTCCTCTTCCTCATCATCGTCCTCGTCCTCATCAATGTCATCCTCATCATCATCGTCCATGTCAAGCTCATCTGCCTGGACAGCTTCACCCGTAAACCATGACACAGCATGTGGAATAATCTTATCTTTAATGGTAGATCTGCAGGAAAATAGTGCGGAGATTCAGATTTTATAACCCAATGAGCCAAGTTTGCAACCACTTAAGATGAATATAAAATAACAGAGAAGGGAAAACTGGCAATAAAGGTTAACAGACCCAATGTCATAGTCATGTTCCATTTGGCCTTGAAGTTCATCAGCCTACACAGGGTTATATATAGGATGGTCAGATATATAATCACAATCTAAAGTACTGAACAGAAAATTATTTGCTTCGTCAGATGGGTGAAATTCTAGTCATACCATATCATCGTCGAGATCTTCCTCGTCATCAGGAACTTGAGGTGGGTTGAAAAAGTTGAAGAAGCTTTCACAGTCTTCGGTCTTGGTTATCGGCTTTGCATTCTTTGATCCCTTCTTAGGCTTCTTCTTCAGAATCTTCTGAGTCAAGCATTTTCCAGGATACCACTCAATATCCGTGCTGAACAACAAACAATCGGATTAGTTGTGTACGATACGAAACACGATACACAATATAATCACATGGAAACCACAGTTACCCTATAGCCTTCTCAAGGATAGGCTCATCTTCATCAATCATGTGATAAGTTTTTGTCAAAACAGTGTTCTTGAAATACGGGTTCTGATCAAAGAATAACTCAAGCTTGAAGCCCTTCGGTTCTTCAACCCTGCTCCACTTAATATCTTTGAGATACTTGAGTGCTCCTTCATCACGCTCAGTTATCTAATGTCATGGGAAAAAGCAGACGTATAAAGAGACAATATGTCACTCATCAGCTTTCCTCGAACAAAATCCTTATAACAGAATTGCATATTCTAAACACAAACCTCCTCCGCAGTCACTTCATTGTTCTTCAACGCGATAAGCCAGAAATCTGGTACTCCTTTATCTGCTCAGAAACAATTGCATGGTAATGAAAATGAGAAGTTTGTAATGTCATTGGAAACTTAAGTAACACAGGCCTCAGTGTTTGGATTGATGAAGTTAAAGACACACCTTCAGCCGCTTTATCCTCTCCTGCCTCTGCTTTAGCTTCTTCTGGGGCTCCTTCTACTTCAACCACACCATTCACGATCTCATATCGCTGCATTGGGTTGAGAGAGTTAGAATCGTTGTCATTTATAATCTTGGATCAAATGAAGATATACCAGAGTGTACAGTAAGGAGACGGATTAGAATCCTCATCGTAGAAGATTTTTCACACAGGTCAAAGACAGTTCTCAAACCTTGGTATATAGAGGCTGATATAGCTTCTGGTATTTGGCTTCTAGAGCTGCCCTCTCCTCGAAAAACTTTGCTTCCAATTCATCATATTGATTCTGCAAGGCATAAAGAAACCAACCAAACTATTTACTCCATCATAACTCAACAACAGAATGGCTGGCTACTGGCTAACTCAAATTCAGCGAGAGTTCCAGATAAGCAAGCATGAAGGCGGTGTAATCTAACAAATCCAAGTGCTAAAACAAAAGAGTAAGGTGTGAATGCTGCCAGATACAATACAATGGCACATCATACAAAAAATCGGAGAAAAAAACTTTACATAACTTTTCTGAACATAAAAATTCAGCAGAAATTCACATGCCTGTATCTCTCTTAGAACCTCGACTCGCTTCCTGATTTTGGGGGTCAAGTTCTCGAGGACATCAGAGTGCTGTCCAGCCAAATTCTGCAACTTGTTCTGCACAAAACACATCAGTAAACACCAAGGCCATTAACAATAACAACTTCATCCATTAATACAAACAAACGAAAGTACAAAGATAATCCCCAATCAAACAAGAACTCAAGATCACAACCCAATATTAGGAAACCCCAAATCCATCTCCCCCACACTCCCAATTTTTTCAAACCATATCAGTTTCCAGAGCAGTAGCAACCGAAAAAAGCATTCACATACTTGCCACGATCTTTAGCACAAAGAAAACAGCCCCTAAATAAGAACAATGAAAATATGTCTCGCTTGAACATGAATTGAAACATGGCATCTATAGCTAACAGAACCAAACTAAGCCCCAGAGAACAAAACATAAGCCCGCGAAAACAAAGGTACGGCGATTTCCTTTTCCATCGTAACCTTCAAGTTTCGGACACAAAACAAGTTACATCGTCAAGTAAACTGACCTTCAGAGCGGTAACAAGCCCAGCTCGGTCCTCTTCGTTGAGAGCTACAAAAAAAAAACAAAAAGAGTGAATTTTTTGGCGAGATCCCGAAGAAATTCGATATTTTGCGATTAGGGCTATGGACAAGAACGATCGAATTTACCGGCGGTGAGGTCGCTCATGTTCAACTCGTTGCTCATCCTGCCGGAGAAGATTATTGCAGAGGAAGCGGAGGATAAGGGAAACACCTAAAACCCTAGATTTGGGAGACAGGAAGGCTTCGTGAGGCGAGTAGACCAAAATACCTGGTCGCTATATATTACTTCAGCTGCACATTTTCGGGAATTTTATATATTTTTTATTTATTGTTTATTCATACAAAAGGTATGACCGTAAGGTCTGATTATTTCTTTGATTGCTCCCTTTTCCTTCAAATTTGATTCCTTTTTTCTAATAATACTATATAAATAGTTACTCGAAATTTATATTTTACCGGTCAAATTCAAATAAAAATTTCCATAAAACAAAACATTCAGTTTGCATATTAGAATTAGCGAATAAAAATTATATAAATTGTATTAAAGGACTATAAACATTCCTACTTAACATATGCATTTATATTTAATGAATATATATATATATATATATATTGCATGAATTCTGTGTTGTCCTATTCTTACTGTATTATGTATAGCAATACTATATAATGCTCGATAACTTTTATAGATCTCAATATTCTTATGAAACTTTCTCTCCGTAATGATCTTAATATTCTTATGAAGCTCTGTACATTTACAAAATTTTAAATCTAGATTTTCTCGATTTGTCTGTTCATTATAAAGTTCGGTTGAAATTTCAGAATTGATGTCTAGTAGAATAAAAATAGATTAGTATTAGAACATTACTTTATGTTACTAAAATTTGAATGTAAATTTTCTCCAATGGAATACCGTAAAAAGCATCACAAAAATAAATTAGATTTCATTTCAATAATACTCAAAATTATTCATTCATTAAAATGTCAAGTTAGGAACTCAACATTGATGGTTAGTCGAATTGCTCCAAGCTTGAAGAATAACGTTTATCTTCATGATAGTTTTTTTAATGTTATGTATATAGTTCGGATATATTACTATTTCTTAACAATTAATTTCATAATTTTAATTTTGGGGAATCCTAAAAGGTTAATGCTGTGTCTATATATACACTGTATATGTTAAATTATTCCAAACGTTTTCAGCTATGTAACATATATACGTATAATATTTGTGTATATATATCTACGACGTGTCGTTTGTACCGCCAACCTGATACCGGAGAAAATGCATGTGGTTATTAAGATATCCCAAACGAACATCGTACAGTCTGCTATATTCAAAGATCAACTCCCTGACGTTGGATGCAGTTGACCGAAAAAATTTATTTGTAGATTTCTGTACACGTGGCAGAAATACAATGGAGCAACGAGGAACTATTTCTCACCATCTGTGACTGTAGCCAAAACCCAAATCTGACAGCAAAGCAGACAAGCGTGGGACTTTGATGAGTGATCACGGGGACACGTGGCACTCATATCAAATGGTGGGGGTCCCGTCACCATAAAGCTTATTAACAGCTAAATATTGACCGTTCGTCAAGATCGAACGGCTGGAAACGTGAATCGTGGCGAAGGGCTAATTCGACACATTTAAAAGTATTATGGTGAGAATGAAATTAATTAGAAACAACGGGGTGAGCGATTATTCGGTGGGTCGTGGCATGGGTTTCCACAAACGGCAAAAAGGTCACTGAAGCAGGACACGTGGCGACCCATTTTTCTTTCCATAAATAGAACTGTCTTTGTCCCTTCGTCTGCAATTCTACTCTGCTGGAAGAACAATCGAGTCTTCCTAATCAGAAGAATCCGCAGTAGCGTCGAAGGAGATATTATGGCAGCGATCGTGGACGACGGAGGAAATGGGTCCCCGGCAGTGGAGGAAATCGTCAACATCACCGTCACCGTCAAGCAAGAACAGAGTACGTCACCGTCGGTGACGATTGTCGGCGGCGTAGACGTAGACGGTGGCGGAGGCTTGTCTGTTCGATCTTCTTCGGCGGTTGAAAAGGCGAAGTTCGACGACGCCGTTTCGAGGGTTAAGGAAGAGGAGGCGGAGGATCAGGAGACTGTTAACGCCGTTAACGTTAACGACGGAGAGTCTCCGTCGTCATCTTCGTCGGGAATTGGGTTGCCGAGACCAGTGGAGGGATTGTACGATATGGGTCCACCGCCGTTTCTGAAGAAGACGTTCGAAATGGTTGATGACCCGGAAACGGACCCGATCGTATCATGGAGCTCGACCCGGAACAGCTTCATCGTCTGGGATTCGTACAAATTCTCTGCCAATCTTCTTCCCAGATACTTTAAGCACAGGAATTTCTCCAGCTTCGTTCGCCAACTCAATACTTATGTAAGCAAATACGGGCTTTGGTATATAAGTTTCTGGGTTGCTTGCCATGTGTTTTGCTTATAGGTCTCTGAATAGTATATTAGTGTTCTTTTTCCTCTTTTTTAATACTTTATTTTGTTGTTTGTGTGTTCTCTGTATACTTTATTATTGTTGAATGTCCACGTCCCCTCTTATCTCTCATTGTCTCTCTCTTAATGATATGTAGACTTGTTCTTATCTCTCTTTAATCTCATGACTTCTTGAGCCAAATTTCTCTTGAAGTTTCTGTTTTCAATGCGGAGCCAAATGTGTCATACTCTTCCGTGTTTGTAATCTGATTGTTTTGGATGTGGTTTTGTAGGGATTTAGGAAGGTTGAGTCGGATCGTTGGGAATTTGCAAACGAAGCGTTCCAAGGAGGGAAGAAGCATTTGCTCAAGAACATCCAGAGGAAGGGCAGAAGCAATGGCAACAAGCAGCGACAAAGCAGAGACACGAATGCCATCTCTCCGTCTCTCTGTCTGGAAACCGAGATCAAATCATTGAAGAAGGAACAAAGCTCCTTAAGATCAGAAATCCTAAAGTTAAAGCTGCAACAGGAGGAATCTGATCATAAAATGGGGACAATGAAGGAGAGGCTCTGCAGAGCGGAATCTAAGCAGAAACACATGCTCGGTTTCTTTGCCAAGGTGGCAAGAGACCAGGGATTTGTGCAGAGACTGATGAAAAGGAGAAAACAAAGGCAAGAGCTCGAAGCAGGCGAGTTCATGAAGAAGCTGAAGATGCTTCAGAACCAAGAAACTGAAGAGAACTCGTGTGATGATGACGACGACGACGTAGAAAGAGATCCGATTCATGAAGAGCTGAATTCCGACATTCTGCTGGACAATGAGTGCTGGGTTCTTCCGGCAGGCGATGACGAGTTTGAAAGTTGTATTCTTGACGACAATCAAGAAGAGACTTTGATGCAGCATCGGTCCAACACAGAAATGAATCTAATGTGTGGAGCAATGTCAGATGAGTTTATGGAGAACGATCTGGTCAAAACGGGCGATGTAACACTAAGTGAATCAAAAATCTATATGGAGTTGGAGGATCTGATCGGAAAAACCCGTGGATGGGGTGGTGGCTGTATGAATGGAATTGTGGAGCAAGAGCAACCTGGTCGTGTGAGAGCTGCTCCTAGCGTTTGAAAGGTACAAACTTTTTCATGCCACCGTATTCTCTGTTTACTTCTGATGCATATGACGTAGAAGGGTACCAAGAGAGATTATACTCGGTTGCTGAGTTCATAGCCCTCGGATGAAGATGATGATGATAATGGTCAGCTGTTTCATATGAATATAGGGCTTAGGTTCCAATGTACATTTGTATGTTTCTTTTATTGGTGTCTTGTCCTAATACGCGCGCACTGTCACGTTCGACTTGGTCTCTTGTTCTTGGAAACTACAGAATCTTGGACTGTGATCTCTGAATCTGGTTGGCGTCTCGATCTGTTGTACCGATCCGTACATAACTGATGCTCGGAGTTGATGTTCCTTTGCTTATAAAAGGGTATTAACGTAATTATAAAATGTTAATGGATAAGATATGTATCTCTTCTTTTTATAGTAGACAGATAAGCGAGGCTTCGATCTTCCGCAACCGACAGTCCGGTCCGGTTCATAATGATGTCATGTCAACGTGTCCCTCGGCTCTCTTCTTGCTTTGTTTGACAAGTAATCTCTACGGTATATGACCAAAATGTGGCTCGAAACCGGGGTAAACCGAAGATTTACGGGTCCGAGTCGGCCCGATCTAAAATATAAATGAACTTAAATCTTTTTGCTCAAAATATAATGCCGTGTGTTTTTGTACGGGGCCGACCGGGCTATAAATGATAAATTATAAAAACGAAAATTCAAGATAAAATTTTAGCATATCTTACATTTGATTTAGTATAATGCACTTGATTCCTCATCCCATGTACAATTATATTATAGGATTATGATATTGATTCGACGAATTTACTTTTTCTATAATATCAATAATTATATTCTCGTTCGGTTGACAAGTAATCTCTGCCATATGATATTTAGATATTATATTTATTTTATAATTTTTATTATTTTCAATTAAGATATGTAAATATTTTTTAATATATATATATATATATATATATATATATATATATATATATTTAAGAGAAATTAATTATCATTCAACGTTTTTAGATAATAATAATAATATTTATTTAAATATCCTATTTTTCAATTCGAATATATTATTTATTCAATACTACATTTTAAATTATTTTTATCTAATGTTTTAGAAATTTATAATTTTCTATATTATATATATATTTTTATTCATATTTTAAATATATTGAGAAACTCATAGTCAATATTTTCATGTCTGCATCATGTTCTTATCGTTAGTACATTTTTTATATATATTTATACATCACCTTTTAACTTTTAACAATTTTTATTTATATTTACAAACTCTTTTAACTTTTCATCTCTTTTCTCTAACTTTTTCAGTGGCTTATTTATCGCCTCCTATAAAATCTTAACTGTTTTCCCGAAAAAAAATTACCAAATCTACCGTATAAATCACCGCAAAATCTTAAAAATTGTGGCGTCGAAATAAAATTTTAAAATTAGGTAAGTTACGAACCAAAACCCCGATAATTATTTTGATTATTAATCGACGGTAGAAATCGCTACAAAATCTATAAATTTTCATTTGATCGAGTTTTATTTAAAATATTGATAATTCATTTTATTTATTATTTGGAGAACCACGTTAAACCATAATAGGACGCAGAGTTACAGTGAATCACAGCAATAGTTATGAGTCACAATATTTGTTTAGATCGGGAACAATTTATTAGTTTCTATAAAAATTGTATCAAAATAGAATCAAAATATTAATCGGTTTGGTTCGGTTTATTGTATGAGTATTGAATAAGAATCAAAACATAATATTTACATATAAATTAATATATTATTGGTTTATAGATCTTCGAAATCTAGAAGCCATATAAATGACAAGATGTGGGTGAGAAGTGGAAGGAAAGAAAAGGAAAGGGAATATTCTTTTTTTGTGAAACTAATTAATTAATTGAGATTCTCTTCGTTCAAACGAGGTAAATAAAAAGCTAGGGTCGAAGTGAAAATAGAAGGGTGGATATTTTTTTTAATATATTGCCGTTTTCTTGTTAGGGAAACTGACAAAATTTTATGTAAATTATATATTATATTATATGAGGGTGAAAACAGAGAGAACAGAAAAAGGAAAAACAAAAACAGAGTAGAAAAAGACCACAGGCAAAGCGACACGCACACCCTTTCTTCTCCGCCTCGTCTTCCGCAGGTCACTCTCTTCGCTTCCTGAAACCGAACCCCACCGAATCTCTCATCTTCTCACCAACGCCCTCTTTAGCCGCTTTAGCTGTTTGATTCTCCCTTCTAAGCCCCTTCCCCGTTGAATCTCTCTAGTTGCTTCCCGATTGCGTTCGCCGGGTAATGCCCTGTTTCAGTTTCCGCCGCAGAGCAATGGGGGGTTTTCCTCGGTTGAATTCCGCTCTGGTACTGGAACTGGAGTTAGGGTTTGGATCTTTCCGGACTTTCAGCTGTTGATTATGGAACCTCGTGTCGGGAAGTTTCGGCTCGGCCGGAAGATCGGCAGCGGCTCCTTCGGGGAGATTTACTCGGGTTTGTTCCGTGTTTTGATTTTACCATTATTCCTCTTCGGTTCTCTGCTGCAATTGTTGGTGGTCATGTTTGTGACTGTTTCTTTGCAGGCAGGGATATTCAGACAAATGAAGACGTTGCGATTAAGCTTGTGAGTGTTCCGATTTGTGTGGATATCTTGAATTTGAAGTTTCCGGACAATGTTTGGATTTCTTAGTAATGTTCTGAATTTGGGTGTTGCGTTTATAGAGAAAAGTGCCTACCTTTGTGTTTGTATTCGACATCTAAAGCTGAACTTTTGCCATGTCCTGAGCGCAGGAAAGTGTCAAGACTAGGCATCCACAGTTGTTGTATGAGTCAAAGATATACAGGCTCCTTCAGGGCGGAAGTAATGAGATTTTTCAATATTAATTTGGTTTTCTTAATGCCTGTGAACCTAATTCCCGGTTATGTTGTCGTGGTATCGCAGCTGGGATCCCGAGTTTGAAATGGTTTGGCGCTGAGGGGGACTACAATGTTTTAGTGATGGATCTGCTCGGGCCAAGCCTCGAAGATTTGTTCAATTTATGCGGAAGGAAGTTTTCATTGAAAACGGTTCTCATGCTCGCTGATCACATGGTAATTATTTTGGGTTGGCGAAAGCTTCAATCACCGATTCATCTCCTGGTTGTGCTATGGCCGCTGAACCTTTTTTTTGCATTGTGTTAGATAAATAGAATCGAGTTCATTCATTCGAAGTCGTATCTTCACCGTGATATCAAGCCTGACAATTTTCTCATGGGTTCGGGAAGGCGGGAAAATCAGGTTTTCTCCTCGTACTCTCTCTTAGTTGGATTTTCCGGCTTATCCTCGAAATCAGTTTCTCTCAGCTTGTGGAGAGTTCGGAGGTCACGATGATATATCTTCTGTTTGCCTTCTTTAGGTCTACATCATAGACTTTGGCTTGGCTAGAAAGTATAGAGATAGCTCAACACACAGGCACATCCCTTACAGGTTTGGATAGCAATAACACCAATTTGGCAATCGATTTTCAAGACTTTGAATAACTAAAACTGGCATTTTGTCCAATGAAATCCAGGGAGAATAAATGTCTGATCGGGACGGCTAGGTATGCGAGCATGAACACCCACATTGGGATCGGTATGCTTCACTGCTTGTTCCATAGCTCTTCCAATCAATCATGGATGTTACTCTGTACTTTTTGTTCCACTTATTGATTCCAATTTTCCCCGGATCCCCCCTCAACGGGATGCTTTGTGCACCGGGCTGCCCTGTACTCTTTAGAGCAAAGTCGGAGGGATGATGTAGAATCACTTGGTTATGTCCTTATGTACTTCCTCAGAGGAAGGTGATAATCATCATTCATCAGAAGATAACCACTTTTTTTTTTGGATTTGTCATGTTTGCTGCCTATCTATACGTCATCTTATCCAACCGCTTGAATCAACGTGCAGTCTTCCATGGCAAGGACAGAAAGATGGGACCAAGAAACAGAAACACGACAAGATTGGTGAAAAGAAGGTTTCGACCTCTATTGAAGTAAGGCTCTATGACGAGGGAAAGTGTTTCGAGAATTTGATCTCAAGACAGGTCTTTTTAACCTTGGATGGGCTGTCTTTTTCTTCAGGTCTTGTGCCGGGGTTACCCTACGGAATTCGCGTCATTCTTTCACTATTGTCGCTCGCTTAGGTTCGACGATAAGCCGGACTACGCCTACTTGAAGGGATTATTCCGCGACCTCTTTATCCGTGAAGGTTGGAAAATTTTTTAACACCATTCCAAGCCCGACTACTTTTTTTCTTGTGCTTCATGTTTTGTTTTTCCCCCCTCAGGTTTTCGGTTTGATTTTGTATTTGACTGGACAACACAACAACGCGTAAACCCCCCACCTCGTGTCGTGCTTGTATGTATATTGTCGCTCTTGATTCTTTATTTTTTTTGGTTGGTCTTGCATCTTCATTACATATTTGCTTATCGAGTTCTGTCTTGTCTCAGGATGGTGGTGTCGGGACAAGCTCGGCGGAGAAGCCTGCTGTCGGAGATGGTGAAAAGCATCCAGGTATTTGCTTAACTATACAGTTAATTAAGCTAATCTAGTTAAATGATAGCTCTCGTATATCGTATCTCTCTTCTCTGTTTTTGAAATAATCCATCGGTTCTCTCTTTTATATATATATATATAGTATAGAGCATTACCTTAAGAACAATGAATATCATAAAGAAGATTAGATTGAAAGGAGCAGGGGTGGGCATGCACAGCTCGGATATCCGAAAAATTCAAAGGAAGAAAGAGCAAGATATGCAAGGAAGGGGACCCGTGAAATACCGGGTCTCCGAAAATTGAGTATCCACTGGTCGGATACCTGCGCTTACGCTGTTTACTCTTACAGGCGAGCACGAAGAGCGCCCAGTGTGTTTGCCAGCCAGGGATGACTCAAAGGGGAAACGGACGGGACACATTCTGAATACAGAGGCTCTCTCGGAACAGAAGAACGGAAACACAGAGGATACTACTCTTGTTAACGACTCCACGGTAAAAGTTTCTCTCCCGAGAAGATCATACTTTTGTTTTTACGACCCCGAGAATTTTTCCGTTCCCTGTTGGTGATGTTTTTAATGTACAACTGCAGATCCCGGGTTCCCTCGGTCCGGATCGATCGGGAGGATCGTCTTCGAGACGGGTAGCTGACTCGGGTGGCCGCGAACCGTTCAGCGAGATCGACAATGCAAACAACCTCGAATCTTCGGTAAAGGGCATGAATGGCCTGCAAATCAATGAAGGAGATAAAGTATTTGTGTAGAGATCGATGTCAGACCAAAAAAAAAAAAAAAAAAGGATTGTTCGCATGAAAGAGATAATACTGGAAATAAATAAACAAATAAACTCAGGGTTATTATTATACTTCACCTTCTGAGAGCGGAGGTGGGAGAAACTTTTGCTCTTGTCCGTGATATGATGCTTCATACAATTTGAATACATACACGCACACTATACGCCTTCAGTATGGCTTCTCTGTACGTATCTTCGTTTCAGTTCGTAGCGTTTCCGTACATACTGTTCTCCTACTTTCCTCCCTTGGTGGTTCAGAAATGGCGGCTGTGAAGCCAGAGGTAGAGGTGTGATGATGATGTTAAAACAGTCGAGCTCGCGAATTAGCTCGAGGTTGCCCCTTTTTTTACCGAATCGATGCAAGAAAACAGACTGAGTGAGCCAGCTCGTTACGAGCCGAACCCAAATGAGCTAGTTCGGTCGACTTGCGAGCTGGTTTAGGGTTGATATTGGTTGGTATGATATTTTGATTTGGAAATAATTTTTTTTGTATATGGATTAGAATTTGAAGATGGTTTTTTGTACATGTATTAAAATCTGATTGTACATAGATGGATTAAGATTTGAACATGTTTTTCTGTAAATAGATGGATTGTGATCTGATCTATTTGAAGATAATTTTTTGTACATGGATTGTGATCGTAAATAAAAGTATGGTTTGGATGTATTGATATGTTCTTTTTATATATCATTCGAATATAGTTTTGTATAATTTAATATGATTTTTTAGGTATTTAGAAAAATATTATACCGATTCGGACTGAACCAAGAATTTTCTGGTCAGAATAAAAACGAGTTTAACGAAGTGGGGTGAAAATAAACTGATTCGAAACGAGATGGTACGATGTGGTCCGAGTTTCCTATCGGTCCCTGTATTCTTACTAGCTTCCATTTTGGGACTGTATGTTTTGGGACACCCCGAAAAAATGCCTGCGCTTGCTGGATATTGTATATTCCAATTTGTTTAAATTCTAATTTTTTTTATAACACGTTCTAAGTATTCACTTGACATGGAGAAATCATTATATTAAAAATCGAAAATATTGTTACCTGAAATCACTCCTGTGTGGTTTGGGGCGTGGTTTTGGATCAAATGAGACGTTTTGTGAAATCGATGGCAAAGTTGTAATTTTCAGTAAAAGGGAGGACAGGCGAGCGCGGATTCTCCTAGGTGTCTGAATATATAATCGAACCTCGGTTATTTCAAAACCCTAATATCCCAATTCGCTTTTCTTTTCCTCGAGCATAAGCAATTCCCCGAAAGTTTAGATGGCGTGGAAGATCTGTCAAGCATAGATTTAGGGTAAAATTGGAGTTTCGATCTGCGGAGAATCCATCGCCGGAGATCAGCCGAGGGATTGAGGGTCAGTAGTTTTCCTTGTTCCTCTGTCCTTTTATGATTTCGTATTCGTCGAATGCAAGGTTAAATCCTAGCTTGTATAGGTTTGGATCTTAATGGGTGTCATGGAAATTGGTTGTTTGCGGTGTTGTTTTGTTTCAATGAGAGACCAAACTGGATTTCGTTGTTTCTAACCATCTCCGCTCGATCTAAATTTCTATACTCTGTGCTTTTGTGTAAGTTTCCTTTGTCTAATTATTGATTTGCAATCGTTACGATGAAAGCTTGCTTTATCTGTTAGGAGATCATATAGTTCTGGGTTTTCATCGGTTAAGCCATCGGAGTTCACAGATCGAGAAATGGATGATATCAACTCGCAAACCGGATCAAAGAATGAAGCGAATCACGAGGAAACCCCGATCTCTAAGGATGATAGCTCGCTTGAAACGATAGTCCGCAGATTTCAAGACGCGTTTACAGCGGGGAAACACAAGTTTTGGGAAACTCAGCCTGTTAGGCAGTTTAAGGATATCAGTACGAGCTTGCCTGAAGGCCCGATTGAGCCCCCGAGCCAGCTGTCTGAGGTCAAACAGGAGCCGTATAACTTGCCGGCTCAATATGAATGGACCACCTGCGATATGGATAACGAGGAGACTTGCAATGAGGTTTACAATCTCCTGAAGAACAACTATGTGGAGGATGACGAAAACATGTTTAGGTTTAACTATTCCAAGGAATTTCTTGGGTGGGCCCTGAGGCCTCCGGGTTATTACAAGAGCTGGCATATTGGTGTCCGTGTCAAAGACTCAAAAAAGCTCGTTGCTTTCATAACTGGAGTGCCTGCTAGAATCCGGGTACGGGACGAAGTTGTGAAAATGGCGGAGATCAATTTCTTGTGTGTTCACAAGAAGCTCAGATCAAAACGGCTCGCACCCGTCATGATTAAGGAGGTTACCAGGAGGGTTCACTTGGAGAACATCTGGCAAGCGGCATATACTGCTGGAGTCGTCCTTCCCACTCCAATCACGACTTGCCAGTACTGGCATCGGTCTCTGAATCCTAAAAAGCTCATCGATGTCGGGTTTTCAAGACTCGGGCCGAGGATGACAATGAGCAGAACCATCAAGCTGTACAAGCTGCAGAGCTCACCGGCTACACAAGGATTCAGAAAAATGGAGCTGCGAGATGTATCTGCCGTGACCCGATTGCTCAGGAATTATCTGAGCCAATTCGTGGTTGCACCCGATTTCGACGAGAACGATGTGGAACACTGGCTGTTGCCACAAGAAGACGTAGTGGACAGCTATGTGGTCGAGAGTCCCGAAACTCACGAGATCACCGACTTCTGCAGCTTCTACACCCTGCCTTCGTCCATCCTCGGAAACCCTAATTATTCGACGCTGAAAATTGCTTACTCGTACTACAACGTGGCCACCAGAACGCCGCTGCTTCAGCTGATGAACGACGCCCTTATCGTTGCAAAGAAGAAGGATTTCGATGTATTCAATGCCCTGGACGTGATGCAGAACGAGTCGTTCCTGAAAGAACTGAAATTTGGCCCTGGAGATGGGCAGCTCCATTACTATCTCTACAACTACAGGGTCAGGAACGGGGTCAAACCGTCAGAACTAGGGCTTGTGCTCCTGTAGTTTCTTCCTCTCTTGTTCCCTTTTGATCCAGACAGTTGTTTCGATGTGTTTTTGATTATGTTCTTTGGGCAAAATCTTTGGATTCTTATCTGTTTTTTGGATCTGTTACTTTGAGTTTTGTTATATTGTTGGTCCCATCTTATCTCGACTCTTGTCGGAACCTATAAACCAACGTATTTATAGCATTTAGTGACTGCAATCCCTATTTCCTTGTCCACGGGAAGGATTCAATTGTGAAGATGCCGAGGGTGAATCTACTAAAATATATTGGAATGCATGTAAAAATTAATTAGTACTAATTTTATTAATTAATATTCGACACAAATACTTTTTAAAATCTTATCGATAAATATATATAATTATATATTGTTTGTCTTTTAGAATAATATATCATTTCTCCCGAAGAATTCTACTGTGATGTCGTTAACTAAATAATGTTTTTCAGTTTTTCAACATTGACGTGGAGATACAACCGTTTGCCGGAAAATTATATCCAATTAACACCATTAGAGGCCGTATAAGAATTTTTTAGAAAATTGCAATTTGATTTATTTTAAATTTAAGATAAACTAATAAATTTATCGATAAAATTTGAATAAATTTATTTAGAATTTTCCCCTTCAATAATTAGATTTAATCTTAGTGTGCTAGCATAAATAGGCATTATATCAAAAATACCCTCCATTTGCTATTTTGACTTCAAGACATATCATTTTCCAATTGTGACTCATGTAACCAGAAATCTAATCTTGATAATATTAGTCATAACATTGAATTTATAAATTTTTTTATCAAATGATTAGTGAAATATATAAGATATGAACATAATGAATATCATCATAAATTTAATGTTATAGTCAAAATGACCAAGATTAAATTTCTGGTCACATGGATCATAGGGTCATAGGTGGAGAAGGGATGACTTGAAGTTAAAATAGTAAAATAAGGGTATTTTTGATAATATCCCGCATAAATATCACCGGGAGAGCGAATTACTTTAAATAATTAAGATCAATCTCCGTCTGCTAACCTTAATCCATATGTGGAGTAGCCAAAAATAATATATGAACCAATTTGTAATTTTTTAACGTTTTATAGCTGAATACACGATTTTTTAATTTTGTCAAAAGTGATCCCATTGTTTCCATGCAAAATTAGATTACACGTCGACAAATATATAACAAACATGTACTCGTTAATGACTCTAATTAAAGGACCTCTTGTATAAAAAAAAGTTGTAGGAATTTGTGTATATTTAGAATTGTTAATAGTTCGAATAATCCTTCTATTAATTTAAATAACGATTTGCTCTATATTTTGTATATTGGTTGGAAAAAATATTGGAATAAGAAAAAATTATCAAGTAGAGAAATTAAATTTTTTTAATAGATCACGAGTTGAGCTGAATGACATTCAACTATAAATCGGTATCTTTAAACCTTGTATATTCAGACTAATTCTCGTTTGTTTTTAGGTTAGTGGCACTAAGCGATAAAAAACTGATCTAAAAGATTGTTTTATTTTCAGGGCAGAATTCGAACTCTGGTTTCTGGTCAAGAGACATTCATTAGCTGAATGCAAAATGTTTATATTAGAAAGAGAATTTATCTATCTGTCTATCCATTTGGTCCGAATCTATTAACAATATGCATTAAATTAATATCGAATGATTCGATGGAGAAGAGGGGACCGGTTACACTCGTGGTCGAGGGTTTCGGCACACAACACCTCAACGAGGGAAAATGCGAAGAGAATCATATCTAATGATATAAGATAATCACAAGAATAATTATGTATAGAACGTTCATTGCCCCTAAGTATCTTTGCTTAATTAAATTTTAACTTTATTCCCTTTTACCACCTTTTTATGCAATTTTTTATATCAATTTCCGAGCTTACGTTTCGAATTTACATTCGTCCAAACAAAGATATATGTATTAATTTACCGTTTGATTGGGGGATGTATGCATATTCTAGAGTTTATGTTTGGGAATATATCTCGACAATATGTACATAAAATAATTAAGCCAAAAAGAAACAATGAATGAGCATTTGAAAATTTATTTCAATAGCATCAAAGCTCGTGAGGTTTTTTGGGTTATGAAATGTTAAAAAAATAAAAATAATGCACTTCCTATGTTCCCAAATTACTGTCGTATTGGAATTTTTCACATATATTATATAAAATAAAGTTAAATGTAAAAAACACTATAGTTAAATATACTTTTTTTTATACTCATGAGGGTTTTTGGGATATGAAATGTTTTAAAATAAACATAATGCACTCCCTATGTTCCCAAATTACTGTCCTATAATTTATATATATATATAGGTCCACATTTAAGGTGTATATTAACTGTGACAAAGAAATCGATACGTACGCATTTAAAAGCTTAAACCCGGTCGAATATTTATGGGAATAAACGTAATGCATGATGACGTGAACAGACCACGAAGCACGTATATATAAACCCTAGACCACATGACCAATTTCATCACCCAACATAAGAATCAATAGTAAGGAATCTAAGGATAATTCTCATGAAGACGAAGAAATAATTCTTTCAGACAGATGCACGCATGGTGATGATGATGATGGAGGTAAATCATTATAATCATGCGTGTAAGAGGTAACAAAAGAAAGGAAGGCGACAGAAGAGAGTGAGCACACATGGTGATTTTCTTGCATGGTCATGCTAGAAACTCTGTGTGCTCACTATCTTTCTGTCACCTGCCCATCCCCTCCCTCTCTCTAGATACATACATATATATAGTTGTGCGTGTGTGTGTATATATATGGATGTACGTAGTGATATGTGTATACACATACATACATGCAGTTTTATGGGTGTGAAGCATAGTGTCGCCGGTTTAAAGTTCTGATTGATTCTAAATTCCGGTTTAGAGTTCGGTACGATTGGAGGTTTGCCTTTGAGTTTTCGAACCGAATTATATAAACAAAAAGTTGTTTCGTTACTTTCGCTATAATTTCTCTTTATGTCTTGTCGATTTATTTGATATTTAAACTTATATATATACATATATTGGTAATGTTTGGTTTCAGTTTGCATGTATCTATATAGGGAGGAATCTATGAAGGAAGATGTATGAGACGGCGAGGGATCACGAATCACGATTAAAGCTTCTCGATTTAATTGTTTTAATTAAGATTTGGGTCTTCTTCTGTATTAATTGATATAATGAGTATCGATGTATAATCATGTATTATATTGTGATTGCGTTAATTGATTCTATAACCTAATTTAATGTGGACCGACACACACACATAAACACACTCTTGACACGTGTAGTGTTCACAGAGGTGTGCAAAAATCGCCATCTCAACTAGAGAATTGTGATAATTGAATTTTGCTGATTAAAAATAAGCAAGCTGATTAGTTCTCTTGGTCATTTTTCTATAGGAATATTCTCGTTTATACGCATTAGGATGCGGACACTTTCGCATTTTAATAAATTAAATTATTATTATTATCATTATTGTTGTTAATATAATGAAGCAAAACACATCAACAGAGTACAATAAAATAGAGCACGGCGTTGACGCTTATAATTAGACAACTGATTCTGGAAAATCTGTAAGGAAAAAAATCCCAAAAAAAAAATAATGTTAAAAAATCATATTACTAATCAAAACTGCAACGGTTTAAAATAATAAATGATGGGCCGTCCGGAAAATTTGATTGGTTATTTAATTAAATTAAATCCTTCTTAACCAAATCTCCAGTCTATCAAAATCTCCTCCGATTAATCAATCTATTAAATTAATACCTTTTTTTACTAATTTCCCCAAATATGTTATATAATAATATATCGAGGACTGCAAGAATTCCAGAAGTCAAACTCTGGTTTGTTTCCAAAGTCAATAGGCAGGAGGGTGTGTAATTATCCAAAACCTATGGGGTCTACTTGTAATTTTTCAAAATTCAAACACACACACACATATAAATATGTATATATATATAAGGGGGTGGGGAGAGACATGAACTCTGCAACTTGTCTCGCTGGGTTAACCTGCTGAAGAAGTAAAGCGATGGTGGCGAAGTATGCGGCGACGAGCGGCGGATCTCCGGCGGAGGAGGGATGGTTGCATGTGGCGGTGGCGGTGAAGGGAATGATCGGAGATAAAATGGGCGGCGGAGGAAGCCGGCGGGCCGTGAAATGGGCCGCGGATAATCTATTGGCCAAGTCCCAGAGATTTGTGTTGGTCCACGTCATCCCCACCATCACCTCCATCCCCACCCCTTGTATGATTGTCTCTCTCCCCCTCTGTATCACTTGTGTTTGTTTGTATGTAGCGGAGGAGGGAGGGTGGCATGTGGCGGTGGCGGTGAAGGGAATGATCGGAGATAAAATGGGCGGCGGAGGAAGCCGGCGGGCCGTGAAATGGGCCGCGGATAATCTATTGGCCAAGTCCCAGAGATTTGTGTTGGTCCACGTCATCCCCACCATCACCTCCATCCCCACCCCTTGTATGATTGTCTCTCTCCCCCTCTGTATCACTTGTGTTTGTTTGTATGTATTATATCTGTTTCTTTTTCTTGTCTTCTTCCATTCCCCGATGTTTATTTGGATTCAAACTTCAGTTAGATTATTTTCTAATTTGGGTTTTTCGGTTTTAAAAATAAATATTCATTAAATTTTTATACTGAATCCGTTAGATTTTTGTTTGCGTTCAATTTCATCGATAAAAATGCTTAATTTTTTGAAATTTGTTTTTCTTTGTTTTTTTAGGTTTTTTCAGATTCATTTAGTTCCAAGTAAAATTCTACGATTATAAAAAAACTTATACCATTTAAATTTTTTTATATTGGATAGATTAACACATCATTAGATTCAATTTTTATTGATGGAAATATTAATTTTATAAAAGACTATTTTTTCGTTTTTTGTTGTCGTTTTACAACTCAGATTCAGATTTTTCGATTTCAAGATATCTATAACAATTTAGATTTTATATATTAGATTTGGTTCAAATGTTGCAATTATATATTAAATTCAGATTGATTCAGTTTTATTTAATTGAAACGAAATGGTCATTCCACTCCTAATTCAAACATTTTTGTTCCTTGTTTAAACATTATATATATATAAACTAGAACACTTTTGTATGTATGTATGTATGTATGTATGTATGTATGTATGTATGTATGTATGTATGTATGTATGTATGTATGTATGTGTGTTGGTGTTGGCAGCGGGTTATGTATGTATGTATGTATGTATGTATGTATGTATGTATGTATGTATGTATGTATGTATGTATGTATGTATGTATGTATGTATGTATGTATGTATGTATGTATGTATGTATGTATGTATGTATGTATGTATGTATGTATGTATGTATGTATGTATGTATGTATGTATGTATGTATGTATGTATGTATGTATGTATGTATGTATGTATGTATGTATGTATGTATGTATGTATGTATGTATGTATGTATGTATGTATGTGTTATGATGATATGGTGTTGGCAGCGGGTGAGAGGCTACCGGTGGAGGAAGTGGAGGAGAGAGTGGTGGAGATGTACGTGCGAGACCTTAAACAAGAGTTTGAACAAGTCTTTCTCCCCTTCATGAAGATTTGCAAGAACAGCCCCAAGGTTTTCTTTCTACCTCTCCAAACTCATAATTTCCATAAACTTTCGGGGCCAAATTATAAATAAATTATTTTTCTTTCCATCATCAGGTGGAAACTCTGCTGTTGGAGCATGACGACCCTGCCATGGGCCTCCTAAGATTCATATACAAATCCAAGCTTAACAGTTTGGTCATGGGATCTTTCTCTCCCAATCTATTCACATGGTACGTACATATTCATTCTTAATTTAAACCGTATGTTTTCTATTTTTACAATTACTTTATTATTTAAATTCGGTTTGAATTAACCAGCCGGTACGATGTAATTTGACCGAGTTTTTCCGGTTTTATGGATTCGGTTTGGAAGGATGAAGGGACAAGGAATACCTTCGACCGTTCTGAGATACGCTCCAGAGACATGTGAAGTCTACATTGTATGTAAAGACAGGATCACCACAAAATCCACTGATCCAATAATGACAGGAGGTGAAAACAAAAACACAACACTTGGCTTTCCATACAAAAACAAACATCGAGATTTGTTTCTAGAAACTTCTTCGATCTAATCATATCCCTCTTTCGTCGATCTCAGAGCCTTGCGCAAGCCCGAGCGTATTGAACACGGAATTTCGGAACAAGGGCACGACTCTCTTCAATGGATTGCCGTCTCCAACTCAAGCTTCCACGGGAGAAATAGTCGGTAAATTTCCCGTATCTTCGTCGTCAAGTAACACTAAACCTTGTTTATTACATTCATGATCAGATACCGTTATCTTCAGATATAACTACGTAAAATGGCTAGTAATGATCTAATACCGGATGATTTTCTTGTATCTTGTGACAGAGGGGGCGACTAGGCGGTCCATTTCGGCGAAAGAGCTTTCGATAGAGCCGTTGAGCCTGACATATAAATCCGAGGCTAACAGTCCGACTTCGGTAAGTCCAGTACTGTTCAAGCGACGTACTGGATCCGAGATTCCGCAGTGTAACTATGCCGATTATAAGGCCTGTACAGAACTTCAACCGGCTCTTGTCGTTAGCGTTGATAGAAAGAGCAATGCCGGTACCCGGACCAAACCTGAATGCCCCCTAGTGAAGCCACTCAAGCCTATCACGACCCAGAGGAAAGACAAGAAGGTACCGATGAGACGGTTTTTTAACGTGTTCTCGCATGTCGTTTCCGAGGATTATACGCTCTTGATACGTGAGGAATATACGTATGTATATAATGTTTTCGAACGCGAATAACGAATATAAGGCTGTTTTCTTCTCGGTGCTAATATATAGGATGGAATTCACGTGGAGGTTGAGCGTCTGAAGAAGGAGCTGCAGAATACAGTTGCGAAATATAAACAAGCTTGTGAAGAACTTGTCTCTACCCAAAACAAGGTAAAAATAAGATTGTCTGAAAACCGCAATCCATGGATGCCGAGGTCTTTCTACGTTCAAAAGTCATGAATACATTGCAAAATCTTGAAGCTTTAATTTGGATATAGATAGAACACAAAGTCTAAGTTTTTTAACAAAAAATTATATATAAGGGGGTACCATCGTATAAAGATTTAACCTAGTGTTGTCTGATGCAGTAGAAAACCCTAGCTAGGTTAAAACTAAATACACTAGAAAACCCTAGGTTAACTCTTTGTACAATATTACAACAGTACCCCTATACTTTTGCAGGTGCAGATGCTGTCATCGGAATGCTTGGAAGAAGCGAAGAGAGTAAATTCGGCTCTGGAGAAAGAAGAGACGCTGAGGAAAGAGGCGGCGAAAGAGAAAGAACGCCATATGAAGGCCATGCAAGAAGTGGAGGCGGCCAAAGCATTGCTCGCTAAAGAGTTCTGTCAGCGTCAGATCGCTGAGGTGAATGCGCTTAAACAGTATTTGGAGAAGAAGAAAGTGATCGATCAGTTGTTATGGACCGATCACCGGTACAGAAAGTACAATGTCGAAGAGATCGAGAGGGCGACGGATAGATTCTCGCCCGAGAAAGTGATCGGAGAAGGAGGGTACGGAAAAGTTTACCGTTGTACCCTCGACAGTACGCCCGTTGCTGTCAAGGCTCTCAGGCTAGATACGCCTGAGAAGAAGCAAGAGTTCTTAAAAGAGGTAAGAGTTTTCTGACTTTTTCGGATTGATATTTCGGTATGAACCGGTTAAGGTTTGGTTTAAGTTTGGCTTTCTCCGGTTTGAAGGTTGAGGTGCTGAGCCAGCTTCGACACCCACATGTGGTTCTGCTCCTAGGAGCTTGTCCTGAGAATGGTTGTTTGGTCTACGAGTACTTGGAAAATGGAAGCCTTGAGGAGTATATATACCACCGGAAAAATAAACCGCCTTTGCCTTGGTTTATCCGGTTTAGGGTGATTTTCGAAATCGCTTGCGGTTTAGCCTTCTTGCATAACTCTAAACCGGAACCAATTGTCCACCGGGACCTTAAACCGGCCAACATATTATTAAACCGGAACTATGTGAGCAAGATTGCGGATGTTGGGCTAGCCAAATTGGTAACCAATGTTATACCGGACGATGTCACCACGTTCCGGCATTCGGTTTTGGCCGGTACACTGCATTATATCGACCCAGAATACCATAGAACCGGAACAATTAGACCGAAATCGGATCTTTACGCTTTCGGTATAGTAATCCTCCAACTGTTAACGGCTCGTCCACCGGGCGGTCTTCTATCTGTGGTCGAGAACGCGGTTAAGAAAGGGACGTTAACCGAGATTTTGGATAAGTCAGTAACCGATTGGCCGTTAACCGAAACTGAAGAATTAGTCCGGTTCGGTTTAAAGTGTTCTGAAATCCGGTGTCGAGATAGACCGGATCTTGAGAAAGAGGTCATACCGGTATTGAAACGGCTGGTGGATACGGCGAATTTGAAGATGAAGAACGGGAGAAGCAGTTTACGTGCACCAAGCCATTACTTTTGCCCAATTCTACGGGTAAGACATATTCATACGTACGGTTCGGTATTTTGTATGATTGTGTTAACCGGGCAATAACTGACGTGAAAAATTAACCGATTTATTGTAATGAAAACAATGATGAAATAGGAGATGATGGGGGATCCACAGATTGCAGCAGATGGGTTCACGTACGAGAAGAAAGCGATCTTAGCGTGGTTGGAGAAACACAACATATCTCCGGTGACGAGGCAAAAGCTGAAGCATTTCCAGCTAACTCCCAACCACACCCTGCGTTCTGCGATTCGCGATTGGAAATCGCGACTCGCGTTTTCTAACGCTATGATCAATATTGACGATTGAGTTTTTTTTTTTTCCGAATCGAATGTAAATATAATATATTATGAAGTGAAGCGATAGAGTAATGGTATCGTTAAGGTGAGTGTGGCAATGTTCACGTTGCCTTTGCTTGTTACATGTTTTGCAATTTATGTTTGTCATGCATGTATTTGTGATTTTGTATGTATGTTTGTAACAACAAAAAACGATAAATAAAATAAATTTAATCAACAAAGACAATCAAAAGTGTGGTTTTTTTCTTCTTCATATAATTTTTGAAGAAAGTGCGATAGATATGCTAAATCTATAATATTAAGCAGGGAATATATATACATATAATTCTTATGGGAATGTGCAATAATATAATTCTTATAAGTTATAACGGTGGCATAAATAAGCTGTAATATTGATTGGAGAGGATATAATTATTATGCAAAAGATGTCATGACTAACCTGTAATATTACGGAAATATTCCTTTTTAATTTAATCCAAATATCAATTTTTATATTTTTTAAATAACGTGATGGTTAGATAGTCTTTGGCTCAAGTAATATTTCTTTGATTCTAGACGAAGACAATGCGGAAAACAACGTTTCTTGCAAATCTCAAATATCAATTTATATAATTTATAATGTTGAGATAATGTACATTTATAAATATATACATACATATATACATATAATGAAACCGGGACACATGGGAATGAAATCCGTTGACTATTTCAAGCTGCTTGGTTATGAACAAATAAAAGGTCAACGGTCAAAGACGGGGCATGAAAAAGGCATGCTTCACTCCCAAATCATTAACCCCTCCCGTAATCTCCCCTACTGTTGCCCTCTCTCTCCATTAATTTAATCTCAATAAGTACTTTAACTAATATTTAAGTAAATACAATATTCTTAACTCTATTGAGTCATATATATATATATATAACTGTTTACTTAGAAGTGTAAAACGGTCTGGTTCGGACCATATCAAATAGTTTGTGTAGTTTTATGTATTTATATATATATATTTAGCGAAATATATAATTGTCTTATGTAAATACATGTATTTGAATGTGTATATGTACATACATCACTTCTATGCACAGTTTGTGCTTCCACGTTTGTCTTATATCAATTATCTGTTATTTTTCGTCCCAAAAAAACGAGTATGTATGTCACCATTCAAATTTATAATAATAATAATAATAATAATAATAATAATAATAATAATAATAATAATAATAATAATAATAATAATAATAATAATAATAATAATAATAATAATAATAATAATAATAATAATAATGATGATGATGATGATGATGATGATGAGGTAAAATTTAACAGCTATCAAATTAAAATTTGTATTTAGGAAAAAATGTTAAAAGCACATATTTCTATATTTTATAAATAAATGTTATCCCACACATAATTTTGATGTGTATATATGTAATTAGGTTTTGTTATTCTAGGTAGCTACCGGTAGAAAAACTTGTGAAGTAAGCGATCGATGACTACATCTTAATATATATATATATATATATATATATATGCGTACGCGCGCGTTTTGATGTATAGAGAAAGTGTATGAGGTGGTTAATTTGCATGTTGCATGCCGTTGATCACACAGACACGATTATGAATATTGTTATTGTATAATAGATATCTACATATACACACATATATATATGCAATTAAAAAAAAAGGTTAATTGTAGATTAGGGGATATCTATATAACCCAACAAGGATAAAAATACAAATGTGATATTTGTTTTGAGATGGGATGGGATTTTACTCGTTTACGGCACTAAATAACCAATAAAATGGGACAAAATATTTACGGAACTTTGGATAAGGTGTTTCTACTTTCTACGCCCTTCTTCGTGTGAAAATCTGTATGAACTCGGGTTGGATTGGAACCACGTGTTTGGTCTGCCATCGTCATGGCTTTCGCAACCAAAATTACATCTTTACCCTTTCCAAGAAACTTCTTTCCCTTTTTCGGAAATCATATGTTAATTAATAACGCGCCAACAAATTCATTAAACATATAATAAAATAAAGCGGTAAAAACATGTAATAAAATATGGTAAGAATATTCCTCAAAATTAAAACCGATCTAGACAAGACAAAGACACAACCCATGTACGCCCTCCATGGGCCCCAACCGCGTAAAGCTTTAATCAAATATATATTAATAAATTTTAATCTTAGATTTATTCTCCGGACTCGGTGCTTATAGTTATCTGTTTTCATATTATAACCAACTATCCGAACTTATAAATTACGATTATAATAGACCCCATTATCTTAATTGACATATTAAATTATAAATATTCGATGATGATAATTCATATTACCCTTCTAGAATAGATGTTTGCTTTACCAAAAAAAGAATAGATGTTTGATAGGTCAGTATAATTAATGTTGATCCTTTACGTTACTATATTATTTTGTTGTATGTTGAATTTGAGGTAACTGCAAGCGTCGTCATTTTCCAAATGAGATAATAATTTTGCTGCTTTTGCGAACCAAAATGAAAAAAAATGAATATGTCAATGTCAATGGTGTCTTAATAAATTTCTTCAATTTAATCACTAACATTAATCACCATATTAATGATTGCCAAATTCATTCTTACTCTCAAAATAAAAAAATTACCAAATTTCTAACTTACATAAAAAAAACCTTGTTTTTTAAACTTGTTATAAAAACCTATCAATTATTAATTTTACAAAAAACATCAAATAATTTATTGCAAAAAGCTATTTTTATTTTAAATAAAATATGAAAGTTTTTGAATAAAACTAATAATTGATAGTTATTAAAATTAATAATTGATAGTTTTTTATAACAAATTTAAAATAAAATATTATTTTTGAATAAATTATATAATTGATATTGTTTTTGTTTAAAAATGATAGTTAATATTTTTTACAGAAAATTTAAAATATATATTTTTTGGTTATAAATCAGATAGTCGATGGATATTTTTTGAGTTTATCTCTTGAAAATATATATATTTATATATATAAATCACCTGATAATTATTTATTAAAAATATTATTTTAAAAAAGATCAGAGAAAGTCAAGCCACCGTCAAACGCATGCCGCGTTCACACATGGACGCGCTTCCTTTCTCCTTCCTCCTTCCTCCAAGTTTCTCGTCGTAGACAGAAACCTTTTTATAAGCGTCTGAAAGAAAACCCTACCCAAAGATCGTTGTCTTCTCCACTTCCACCATTCGATTTCACATTCGTCCAACCCTTTTCAAACATTCTTCAAACCCTTTTCATGGAAATCTCCGCTTTCCCATTTCTCAACCCACAGGACATTGACGAGTGTTCCCACTTACTTGGTCTATTTCAGGACATTGACTCGAACCCTCCTGGTTCCGGATTCGACAGCTTCTGTAACGACAACGTCAACCTCAAGAAGCGTCCCAGGAAAGACGACGACAACGAAGAAGACAGTGCTCTGAATAAGAACGCCGGGTTCGGCGACATACTCGCGTCGCTTCTGTTGTTGGACGAGGAAGCGAAGCAGCAGCAGGAACTGTGGAATTTCGAGTCTCGAGGGGAAAAAACCGATCTTGAGGCCAATCACCGGGAAAAAGTGAGAATAATGGATGAATACTACGAGGAATTACAGACCCATTACTCTGCAATGGCGGAATCTGACACCTCCCGCTCGAAACGCGCGCGAAAATCTGCGGTTGCGGTTGCCGCCTCCGCCGCTGCGGGAGAGGAAGCTCCGGGTCCGGCGACGGATAACCCGGGACCTTCCGGGTCGGGTTCGGGTCAGAGGAGGTTGTGGGTGAAGGAGCGGCCGACGGACTGGTGGGACCGAGTAAGCCGACCAGATTTCCCGGAGGAAGAGTTCCGGCGAGAGTTCAGGATGAGTAGATCGACGTTCAACCTGATCTGCGAGGAGCTACAAGAGGCGGTGACGAAGAAGAACACGATGCTCCGAGACGCGATTCCGGCGCCGAAACGCGTCGGCGTCTGCGTTTGGCGTTTAGCGACTGGAGCGCCGCTGCGACACGTGTCGGAGCGCTTCGGCCTGGGAATCTCCACATGCCACAAGCTCGTGATCGAAGTCTGCAGAGCCATTAACGACGTGTTGATGCCGAAGTACCTCCGGTGGCCATCGGAGCCAG